GGACTCATCCTCCGCTGGAGCACTCCCCAGGCCCCGCCGCCCCCATGTTCCCATCCTGAAGGGACAGAGCCTGTTTCCCCGTAGCAGAAATGCTTTCCAGCTGGCTAGAGGTGAGATTTCGGATCCTTTCGCTTCTCCCCCAGTGCTTAGCTTTTCCTACTGGCTGGCCCCAGGCAGCTTCCTGCTCACCAGATCGCTTCTCCCGCTGTGTTACGTTACATAGGGAACTCGGGCATCGGGGTGGGTTTGGATTTCATGGCCGGGGCCAAGGAGTTGGATGCTGCAGAAAACAAACCCTCAGTTTGGGGAGAGCTGCGTAACTGAGGCAGGGCAGGGAACCGCTTTGATTTGGAAACAACCCTTTTTTGTTCTTTTACTGCACACAGAGAAGATGCACAGCGACAACAGTTCAGGAGCAGCAGGGAAGTCTGTTAGTCGCTGTTACCCCAGCGGCAGGGGAGGAGTCACGCTGCGCCCAGTGATTTCTGGAGAGAAGGGGCCTGCACCTCTGAACAGGACTACAAACCTGAGCCGATTCCGACCGGGAATAAATTGCTGCTAAAACTTTGTTTGCAATGCGCTATCATTGACGTGCCTTCTGGGGGTGAGCACCGAGCCATGTATTGCTGCGGTTTGTTAGCCAGAAACCAAACCCTTCCAGGCAGCTCTGTCCTAAAAGTCAACTGCCGACTCTGATGCTCTACGGGCTGGGCCAGATTAAGCATTAGGCACGCACAGATTAGATAAGCAGCCTCAAGGCTGCTCCTCTGCCCAGCAGATTTAAACCCTCAATAGTTTTCTTTCATACAAAAGCAAATCAGGTGCCATTGCCCCTGATAAATGGATCCTCTGGCCCAGCGTGCTGCAGTAAGATATTCCAGGAAATGACTTTGGCGATTTGCCTGGAAGATCTCCTAAACCTCCGAGTGCAGCCGACTCCCTCGGAGCTGCCGTGCACTGCCTCGCCTCTCTCTCTGCCTCCACAGCCACGCTTGGAGACTGCGTTTTAATAAACACAGTGCAGCTGGAACTGATTTGGAAACTATTGTGCAGAGGAGCAAACTGCCCTCACTCCCAGGAGCATCTGGCCTTGGATGTCAGCGCAAGTGGAACTGGCACAGAGTTTCTACAGAGCTTTCCGTTAGATTTTTACATACTGAGGGCCAGAGGTGACATTGCAGTCCATTATCCTGCCAATTTCACAGATCAATAGATAAACAGATTACTATTCAGTTGCTTAATTTTTTCAGCCTTTTAAAGGGTGGAGGCGTGCATGATTATGCCAGAACAACATTTCTTATTTTCAAAGAGGAGAAATCGGTCTGTGTCTTCAACTAGGTACGTGTACTAAACTGTACCACAAACAAAAGGCATTCTTCCACCACCGCTCTTTTCACCGAACCAATATGAAAGGGGAATGTAAGAGTAACCATTGTCCACATTATCAATATTTAACTTCTTCCTATAGGACTACATA